TCTTGGATTTCTGATTGTTTTAGTGTAGCTAGAGGGTAGGGTGAAAGTCGGCATAAGTTACTTAGCATCATGTAGATGGAACACCATCTTAGTAAAACTGTATTCAAATATTAACAAAATTTTAAATAAAGCTATTTTCGTTGAGATTTCAAACCTACATTCTGCGTCAATTCTTTAATGGATAGTGCTTTTAAGTCAACATTTTGCATCACTCCCAAAATAAATGGTAACTTTTTGTTACCTATGGTATGGTCATTTTAAATCAACATTTTCCTTCACACCCAAAATAAATGGTGATTTTTTTACCTATGTTTAGCGTCAATCCTTTAATGGATAATGATTTTAAATCAAAATTTAACAACACGCCCATAATGGGCGGCGATATCAAACCAAATTTTTGCGTCACGCTTTAAATGGATTGTTAAAAATTAAGACGTAACGATTCGGACTCAGCGACCTGAGATTTCAACTAAGCAAACAGTGGTTTCAACCGATTCTGACAGAGATCAATGTCACAATTGTAAGAAATACGTTGGGTTTTTTTCTTTTGTAAGGCAATGTGTATTGTTAGTTTGTTACGTTGAGTAAATATTTTACACAGAAATATATAACTTAATTTATAACGCGTTTCTTTTATTTAATTCTTATATAGAAAAACAAAGTAGTTTATTATTTATTAGTATTAGTTAGTTTCACTTAAATACTTCATGTAGAGAAAAATAACTTTCTTTTCTTTAAGAATACCAAACAAATTATGAATATCTATCTATATCTATATATATAATTCTCTTCTGCGAGCCGTTAGAAAACAAGCTGCAAGCGCCTCCTTGCAGTCCCCTCTCTTTCTCTCTATCACTATCACTACCACCCCACCCCACCCCCACATTGTCTGGTGAGCTGTGGTCACGCTAAATGTTTACAAAGCTAAATCTTTACAAATCGTAGAGTCGTAGAGCCGGGTTTGTATTAGGGGCAGATAATTTTGTTCGATTTTAAACTTACTAAGAAATAACTAAGAGGAGGCTGCTTTCACGGGGGGGGGGGGGGGTGTAGGGTCGGGGTTAGGGGAAAGGGGGGGTAGTGTTTTAAAGCAAATATTTTCAGTGGCAGCATTGGTACTGTCGAATTCACTAATTATGAATTACTAAAAAAAGAAAATAAAACAGCAAAATAGCGGCGTATGATACGCTGCGGGTCGGCTCGTAATTATTAAAAAAATGCATACAGCATAGATCTAGATGTAGAATACCAGGGTTTATTTTAAAAATATCTTGTCTGGAGGAAGCTCCGCCCACAACTCACACAATACCACGTAACAAACCTCCTGATATTTAAATAGACCAGCGTTTCAATTATCACTTTTTCTTTTTGAAAAGTCAATTTTAGATACTAAATGAATTGTTGTGGTTTTTCACTTTTAGTTAGATCTAGTAACTGCTTCTAATTTGAAATAGAAAAGAATCGATGTACTATTTATCAATATTTGTGTCTGTATAAAAAATAAAAAAATATAGGACATCGTTTGTGCGTGTGTGTGTTGGGGGTGGGGGTTGGTTTAAGTAATGTTCGTTTTAGCATGCTGGGGGTGGGAGGAGGCTACTTTTACAAATAAGTAACTAAATACAGGGGTTGGGTGGTAGGCGGGGAGGGGGGGGGGGGGGCGGGGGTTGGAAATAAGCAAAAAAAGTTCCGTTATTTATGAAATATCTTTCGACTCAAAACTCCATATGCTTGTAGTTGTTTTTTTTTTCAATCGCTTGAACAGTATTTTTTATTCAACGAGGCTCATAGTTGCAGATTGTATCTGAAATACCGTTTTCTTGTTAACATTTTCTTGTGAACTGTTTAGTATACCTCACTCAATTAATAACACATGATCGTGTTTGTTTCAGATGTTTTACCGGCTTTAGTGAGCAGATCTATCATACGACTGTGAGGGTAATTTTACCATTACTCACTCCCTTGATGCTATAGAAATATTACTCACTCCCTTGGTGCTATAGAAATATTGCTGACTTTCAGACAACTTGTAGCATGTGTGTCATATCCGTCCTTCTGAAATTACATTATTTTCAAGTATTGCATTCATTTTTTGCTTGTAATCTGGCTGAATAAGACACATTTATTGCATCAATGAATATTTTAAAGAAATATAAACAAATATAGCTTAAAAGAAATTTAGAATATTGGAACATTAATTATTTCTTAATAAATGTATACAATTTAATAGGTATATATTAGATATTATAGCTAAATTTCAATGTAGGAAGTATTAACTTATACATATACATATAAATAAATACGTATACAAATAAAATAATTAAGCTTATTTAAAATATAGCAGTATCAAATAGACCTATGTTTAAATAATTAAAAAAATAGACTATAGAATTCATTACAACAAATATGTGAACAAAATATGATAAACTGACGTACTATGTAAGCGGATATCAACAAACTATGAAACGAATTTCTCCCAGGAAATGCCAGTACCTTATACTAAGCCTGGCAGTATTGTTATTGTTTACAGTCTTGAATTTCAAACCCTGGCAGCCATTAAAGTCTAGTTGGGAAGGGAGGCTACCGGGCTTCAACGTCAATATAGAAGAAATGAACACAGAAAGTGAGTTATCGTTCCTAACCTCGGCTAAAAATAGGAATTCGTGGTCTTCAACAAGTCTCAAATCGGAAGCGAGAGTTAAGCTGAATTTGAATACCGATGACGTCATAGTTTTCCTCCACATCCAGAAGACAGGTGGGATGAACTTAAAGCGTCTGCTGGTCAACTGGACGCAGGACGTCCCTCCATGCACGTGCGAGAGCATTGAGAAAAAGTGTGAGTGCCGGACCAGCAACAACGTCACGTGGCTGGCAGCCTGGTTTATTCGAGGCTTCACGTGCGGGCTGCACGCGGATTGGACGGAACTGACTGAGTGTGTGGACCCGTGGTTTAAGGCGGTAGAGCCTCAAAGATCACATCGGAAGTGAGTACTCACCTTTCTAATTAAAATTTGTAGTGTGTCGAACTTCAAATCTTGGTGTAATGTGGTAGAGTGGTGTAGTGAGGTGGTGTAGTGGGGCATTGTGGTCGAGCGTTAGAGCTTATGGTCATAGAACCTTAACTGAAGCTCTAGAATTTTGATTCCATGGCTGTAATATATTTGAAGAGCCGGAGTCCACCCAGCTCTTATTAGTACCTGGGCAGAATTGAGATAAATAAAACACGACTGGGTTTAATGCTAACCATGCAATCCTTGTATAGTGTGGTCAGTTGAAAATAATGATTCAGGTACCCATCAGGGCTGAGTGGACTCAGGTAAGTCCCACACGAGCTTTGAAGCCCGTACTTTATTGTTTACAATATGTCCCATTATGTTGTCGCATACTATTATATAATCTAGTTGTAATTTGCATAACACTAAATCACATAACTGTATTTCAAACTATCATTACCTTACCTATCTGTCATTTTACATTAGTTACACTTTAGCTACCATTACATGACCTACCTGTACCTTCAGCTACCATTACATGACCTACCTTACCTACAGCTACCATTACATCACCTACCTGTACCTTCAGCTACCATTACATCACCTACCTGTACCTACAGCTACCATTACATGACCTACCTTACCTACAGCTACCATTACATGACCTACCTGTACCTACAGCTACCATTACATGACCAACCTGTACCTTCAGCTACCATTACATCACCTACCTGTACCTTCATCTACCATTACATCACCTACCTTACCTACAGCTACCATTACATGACCTACCTGTATTTAAGCTACCATTACATGACCTACCTGTACCTTAAGCTACCATTACATCACCAACCTGTACCTTCAGCTACCATTACATCACCTACCTGTACCTTCAGCTACCATTACATGACCTACCTGTATTTAAGCTACCATTACATGACCTACCTGTACCTACAGCTACCATTACATGACCTACATGTACCTTCAGCTACCATTACATCACCTACCTGTACATTCAGCTACCATTATATGACCTACCTTACCTACAGCTACCATTACATGACCTACCTGTACCTTCAGCTACCATTACATCACCTACCTGTACCTTCAGCTACCATTACATGACCTACCTGTATTTAAGCTACCATTACATGACCTACCTGTACCTACAGCTACCATTACATGACCTACATGTACCTTCAGCTACCATTACATCACCTACCTGTACCTTCAGCTACCATTACATGACCTACCTGTATTTAAGCTACCATTACATGACCTACCTGTACCTTCATCTACCATTACATGACCTACCTTACCTACAGCTACCATTACATGACCTACCTGTACTTAAGCTACCCTTACATCACCTACCTGTACCTTCAGCTACCATTACATCACCTACCTGTAACTTTATCTTCCATTACATCACCTACCTAGCTACCATTACATCACCTACCTGTATATTTAGCTACCATTACATGGCCTACCTGTACCTTCAGCTACCATTACATGACCTACCTGTACCTACAGCTACCATTACATGACCGACCTGTATTTAAGCTACCATTACATGACCTACCTGTACCTACAGCTACCATTACATCACCTACCTGTACCTACAGCTACCATTACATGACCTACCTGTACCTACAGCTACCATTACACCACCTACCTGTACCTTCAGCTACCATTACATCACCTACCTGTACCTACAGCTACCATTACATGACCTACCTGTACCTACAGCTACCATTACACCACCTACCTGTACCTACAGCTACCATTACATGACCTACCTGTACCTTCAGCTACCATTACATCACCTACCTGTACCTACAGCTACCATTACATGACCTACCTGTACCTACAGCTACCATTACATGACCTACCTGTACCTTCAGCTACCATTACATGACCTACCTGTACCTACAGCTACCATTACATCACCTACCTGTACCTACAGCTACCATTACATGACCTACCTGTACCTACAGCTACCATTACATGACCTACCTGCGAGATCCAGTCAACCGTTTCATCAGTGAGTGGATGCACGTCAGACGTGGCGCCTACTGGCCCAAAGAATACCTGTGTAACGGTAGAAACGCCACACCCAGTGAGCTGCCCAGGTGTGCTGGGGGAGGGCCGTGGCGTGACGTCACATTTGACGAGTTCGTCGGGTGCAGGTAGGTGCTAGGTGCTAGCGTCATTGGTAATATAAAGGTGCTAGCTGTTATTTGAAGCTGCATATATTGTAGATGCTAAATGGTAGTATCTCCGTTTGTACGTGGTATGTGTAAGTCTCAACTGTTGTAAGGGCTTAGTGGAAGTTTTATTAGTTATTGTGCTAGACGGTTGTTTCATAAGTTATAGTAGTAGTTGGTAGCATAATTAGTTACAGTGCTAGTTGGTAGCCTAATTAATTATAGTGCTAGTTTGTTGCCTCATCTATCTATATATATAATTCTCTTCTGGGAGCCTTTAGAAAACAAGCTGCAAGCGCGCATTGCAGTCCACTCTCTTCCTCTCTACCGCTACCCCCTCTTCCCCCCCCCCCCCCCCCCCACCACCCCTACACGTCTGGTGAGCTGTAGTTCACTCTAAATGTTTACATTTTACAATCATAGAGCAGGGTTTGGTGACGGCTATTAGGGGCAGATAATTTAGTTTGAAACGATTTTAAAATAAGAGGAGGTAACTAAGAGGAGGCTGCTTTCACGGGGGGGGGGGGGGGGGGGAGGGGGTTTAGTGTTTTAAAGCACATATTTTCAGTGGCAGCATTAGTACTGTCGAATTCACAAATCATGAATTACTGAAAAGTAGAAAAAACAACTAAATAGCGGCGTATGATACACCGCGGGTCGGCTCGTATATATAATTCTCTTCTGGGATCAGTTAGAAAACAAGCTGCAAGCGCGCCTTTGCAGTCCCTTCTCTTCCTCTCTATCACTACCACCCCCACCCCACCCCCACATGATCTGGTGAGCGGTGTTCACTCTGTTTACATTTTACAATCACAGAGACGGGTTTGGTGACGGCTATTAGGGGCAGATAATTTAGTTTGAAACGATTTTAAACTTAGAGGAGGTAACTAAGAGGAGGCTGCTTTCACAGGGGGGGGGGGGGGGGGGAAGGGGGTTTAGTGTTTTAAAGCAAATATTTTCAGTGGCAGCATTGGTACTGTCGAATTCACAAATTATAAATTACTGAAAAGTAGAAAAAAAAAAAACAACTAAATAGCGGCGTATGATACGCAGCGGGTCGGCTCGTTAGTTATAGTGCTAGTCGGTAGCCTAATTAGTTATAGTGCTAGTTGGTAGACTTATTATTTATAGTGCTAGTTGGTAGCCAAATTAGTTATAGTGCTAGTTGGTAGCATAATTAGTTATAGTGCTAGTTGGTAGCCTAACTAGTTATAGTGCTAGTTGGTAGCCTAATTAGTTATAGTGCTAGTTGGTAGCCTCTTTAGTTATAGTGCTAGTTGGTAGCCTAATTAGTTATTGGGCTAGTGGGTAGCCTAATTTGTTATAATGCTTGCTGTTAGCCTAATTAGTTTGAATGCTTGTTGTTAGCCTAATTAATAATAATTAAATCCAATAGACACATTAGTTTTAGTGCTACTGGGTAACGTAATTATTTATATCACTAGATGATAGCCTTATTAGTTATTGAGCTAATTAGTAGGCATATTAGTTATAATGCTAGTTGGTAGCATCATTATAACAGTAGGTGGTATTCTCAATAAATATGTTGTTAACCAGTAGCCTCGTGAGTTATAGTGCTAGTCGGTAGCTACACAACATGTATGTGATATAGTGTAGCTTCATTAGTTGTAGAGGCAAGCTGGTAGTAGCCTTGTAAGTTATAGGCGATACCCAATATCCTCATTGGTTATATGTAGATATTAATAATCTCACACGATATCGTTGCTAGCGTGTAGCCTAGAAATGTATAGGTGGTAGCTAGGAGCGCAAGAGTTGAAACCGCTAACGGGCAGTGTTTCTTCCAGACTTTTTTATCTGGGGGAGGGGAGGCACTGTTAAAAGTATATATTTTCTATATACATTCCATTTAGTTTGGGAGAGGGGGGAGGCGGTAGAAGAGATGCCTGGAAGAAACGCTGCTAGCGGGTAGCGTTATATGCTGTAGATGATTTCTGGTGATACTAGAGGTTATGTACATGACTATTAATACTTAATGATTTGTCTAGGAGATGCCACTTAACAATAATTAGACACATTGATGATGAAAAAATTTATAATTAATTTTTTTTCTACAGCCACAACCTTGGCTTTAACCGCATGACCAGAATGTTGGCTAACCTGTCTTTGGTCAACTGCTACAACAGAACTGGACTCTCCAAAGACTTCGTGGACAAGACTCTACTCAACAGCGCCAAGGAAAATCTGCGGGCCATGGAGTTCTTTGGCCTGACAGAGGAGCAGGAAAAATCTCAGTTTTTGTTTGAGGTCACGTTTGGTGTGTTGCTGGCCAAACGAACGGTCAGGCATGAGCTAACGGTAGCGTCAACGGTTCAAATCACAGATGAGATGTTGTCAGTTATAAAAGATAACAACTTGCTGGACATAGAACTTTACAGCTTTGCTCAGGAATTGTTTACACAGAGAGTGGTGGAGGCGGAGACGAGGCTTGGTTTTAATACTAGCATTTATTTCAAAAGAAGATTTTTTGATTAGTAACTCATCATTTACATATGCTGTTTTTTTTTTAATGTTACAGTAGTCCACACATTTACATTGAAGAAGACTTTTATTTAAGATATTAAGACTTTTATTAAAGACATTTAATACGACTTTTAACAAAAGCACGTTTTTAAAACGGCATTATTTTGAAAAAAAAACCTTTAAAAATGACAATCCTATGAAATTTAATTATTGACTTTCAATGTAGCAGATGTAGCATACGTGTATGTAGACAGCTACTGCTCGAGTCGGTAGGCTTTCACTGAGTCCACCCAGCTATAACGAGTACCTGACGTACGTTCACGAAACAAAGGCGAATGGGAATAATGCTCAACACACTATTAGATTTATCCCAGGATAATTGAAACAAATGAACTTTACCTCTTTTGCCCCATTTGTCTTAGGCGTGAAAGGGTAATGGTGATCATACAGTTGATTTTAATCTCCATTCGTTTTACTCCTCCGATTATGAACATTAGCAACACATTTAAAACAAGTATTTCACCTGTTTTTTTTAATGATTAATCAGTGAAATAACTCATGTGCTTTATAGTCGAGATATATATATATATATATATATATATATATATATATATATATATATATATATATATATATATATATATATATATATATATATATTTATATATATATATATATATATATATATGTGTGTGTGTGTGTGTGTGTGTGTGTAATTCATTTTGAAGAAAAGATACAATTTTTTAAAGATACCGCAAACAAAACGTTTTTACTTCCCATTTACATAATTAAACTAGTCAAGGGAAATAATTATTTATATTATCAACTTTCATCAAAATAGCAAAAAAATTAATAGTAACGCAGAAACAAAAACTGTATTAGTAATTTTTTTAAAAACTTTTTGTTATATTATCAGACATTGATTTTATGTTACTATTTTTGTGAACAAAAATTTATCATAGCACTCTAGTTTTTTTGGTAAACTGTTTAAGGTCATACATTGTTTATTTTACAAAGGTGAGGCTCTTAGAATATCATTGATATAAAAAACCGTAAAAAAAAACAATCGCATTAGATATTTCCAAATTCATGCTAACTCTGGCAACATTTAACATCAAGGGGGCTAGGGACAAAACACATTATATAAACAACGTAATAAATAAACACAATATTGACATCCCACTTTTACAGGAAACTAACATTGGAACTACAGAAGAAGCAATTAAACTAGATGCATACATCGGCATCAAAAACTCACTGCACAGTACTGGTTCCAACTGCAGAGGAGCCAGTTTACCTTGTACATCAGACAAACACAAAATTAAAAGTACATACACGGATAAACAGGGCAGGATAGCTTGCATCACATTGAATATTGATAATACAGAAATAACAATCATCAATATATAGGCTACGCCCCAACACATAGACAAGAACAAAAACATTTCTACCACACGCTTAATGGAATACAAAAACAAGACGATACTTTTAGCAGAAATATTTCAAGCAAAGCTAAGACATAGACTGGGAACTCTCACTTAACTGGGGAAAAAATGTACAGGAAAGCAATCAATAAAGTATTAATTTTAATTTAGACAGTCTCAAGCCAAACATCACTCGATCAGCCCTCAAGTAAATTAACATTAGAACAGTCTTCTGTTTCCCAGGTTTTTAACAGTGTACAACCTGAATGGTAGAAAGAGATACACACCTCACCCACCCATACACACACATCCTCCCCACTCAACCGGACAGGCGGATATTTCAAGGTAGCGTGCCTTCATCGCCAAGGGTCAATTTAATGTCATGGACATTTTTGGAATGATAGATCAGTATGAGTATTACAGAGACACTTCTCCCACGGTCGTTTCTATTTCTGTCCATGGGTGTCTACAATGTGAACTTTTGACTCCACAGCTAAGGACTGAGCACAGTAAACTAAGCAGTCAAGAAAAACCGAGTTTGCACACCTTATTTTAGTCTAGTCTTATGCCATTTTATTTTCTCTCTTTGATTATTATATATGTAATTGATGTTCATATCTTTCATGCTCTGTAAAACTATCAAACAAATTATTATTACTGATTTAAATGTTTAAAACAATTGATTAAAAAAATAAATAAAAAATAAATAAATAATTGAGGACTGTATAGATATAGATGTTTGAAAGAGAAGAATGTGTTTGCTTTGATGTGTCTTGTTGTAATAACATAACTTTTCCGATTGCTTAAAAATTGTAAACCCTTTAATTCTCTGTAATCACAAATTTATTTCAGCACTACTTAAAAACCCAAATTACACCCCGCCCCCCCCCCCCCCCCCTCACCCACCACGCCGAGGAAAAAAAAATCCCTTGAATCATCATTTAATTACACATTTGCATTTTCAGGTTGTTTTTTATTTATTTTTTAATTTTTTTTAAATATTTAGACGTTTTGTATTAGATCTATGTAGAAGTAAACCATCTTAAATGAATGAAAGTAGGCTACAAGTAAGAAAGAAATATCACTATTGTAAATCTGTATCAGTCCTCACAAGCCGATGATGAAAACTAATACTAAAGCGAACACACAACTGACGCTGTAAATTACATGTCTGAGGCAAAAAAAAAAAAAAAAAAAAAGGATATTTTCAAGAGAAAGGAGTTTGCACACCCTATTTTAGTCTGGTTCTTAGGCCAATCTATTTTCTCCATTTAATTACTATATAAGCAAATCCATCAAATAAATCATTATGACTATTTTTAAATGTTTAAAAACATTGAATAAATTAACAAGAAAAATGATATAAATTTACATATATATAAATTTGAGTTGTTATGAGTAGCTATGTAAAAACCAAAATCCCCTTCAGCCTTCCACGGAGAGGAAGAAAAAAAAAAAAATATATATATATTCATTTGAGTAACAAAGAGGACTTAAAAGCAGTGTTTTTTCCAGACCTTTTTCTCGGGGGGGGGGGGGGGGGGGAGGGGGACACTTGAAATTTTCGGGGGGGGGGGGTGGTAGACTTTCTTCGGGGGGGGGGGGCGGACACTGTTAAAAGTATATATTTTCTATATAAACTATATAAATTTCATTTCGTTCGGGGGGGGGGGGGGAAATGCCTGGAAGAAACTCCGTATCAACCCAACACATCGAAAAGGAAATGAAAGAAAGGAAGGGGAATAAAGAAATACAATTTAATTATTTTTTTTTAAATCACTGAGTAACATTTTTAGGTATAAAAATAAAAGTGTAATTAGAAATTATGCATTAGTAAATCTTCTTAAATGAATGAAAGTAGGCATACATGTCATGTAATAGTATTACTATTGTAAATCTGTGTTAGCTAATGAAAATAGACGCTGTAAATTGCTTACCTGAGGAAAAAATGTGAATATGAGGGAAAAATAGTAATAATAATTAACAATGTCTCCTATAGTTGGATTACTTCAGTAGTTCAAGGATAACAATCTGAAACGTTAGCAAGTGATACAATCTCACCCCTACCCTCCTTACCCGGAACTGGGATGGTGGGTTGATCAAAGCAAGCAGACTCTGGTAAATGTCAACAGTGTTCATCCCACGGTCGTTTTAGTTATGTTTTCACATTTGAGGATCCAACAAAAAACAAGAATTTTTTTTCTTTATTGACGAACGTCACTGGCTCAGGGATGTGTCTCCCATTAGACACGACAAACTCCAACTAACTGGCTTGGATGTGGGGTTGATTAGCGTGTATGTTGTGCTTCTGTTCTTTGGTTCTCACCAGGCTTATCTTCTACCCCACTGAACGCATGGTAAACTCGTACCCCACCGTCCAGTACCAAGCTCAACCGTAGGAAGCTTATAACTAAAAAATAAATCGTCACTTAGGTCAATTTAGTGCATACTAACAGATAAAGAAATGCATACTGAATAAAAGATCATTCCCTATTTAACGGTATTCGGAAAAGTCGGCTCTTTGGCAGTGGCAAGCATGGAATTGTTGCCACGGGGCTGGCCACAGCACGGATGTTGGGTTGGGCCCGGTACCCAAGCCACTGTCAGCTGTCCATTTACTTTCCACCTAAACAATTCTAACTGTTCTCTGATCAGTGTTTTTATCATGTTTAAATTTGTGTTTCTTTACAGTAAATCATTGTTATGAGTTTAAAAAAAAAATTAAAATAATTAATACTAATAGTTTCGCTGTCTGTCTATCTATCTATCTATCTGACAAGAAC